ATGATAGTGTTATTATATAGTGCGGAAGAGTTAGTATGATTATAATGAGGGGAATAGCTCGCCTGATGGCAGAGTGGGGAACGAGTTTCTATTTCGGCAGAGTGGGAAAGAGTTTTCTGGTTGTAGAATGAGAAAGATTTATGTAACAAATGTTATATTTGTGATAATACTTTCTTAGTAAAGTACAGATTCTAAAACTTTTTTGGGTCGAATCCTATCTTTCATGACCACTTTCTAAATGGCATTGTGTATTTATAGCTTTCGGCCATGGGAGCCGTGCCAATTTACTCGCGAGTGAGTGAGTGAGTGAGTGAGTGAGTGAGTGAGTGAGTGAGTGAGTTAAAAATTAACGTCGCATCGGCATTATTTCAGCCATATAGCGACCTCTTGTCAGAGGGGTATGTACAACAAATGCGTGGTCTAGACTACCAGCTGTCAGAGGTTCATTTGTTGTGGAACCTCGGTGGCTGAGTAGGCTTGATCGTTGACTTTGTGTGCTGGCGATAAGGTGGCTCACTATAGGAGTGTGGTTTCGAATCCCGGATGGGACTCAACCCCAGAAAGTACAAGAATCTGTACTTTACTAAGAAAGTGTTATCCCAAATATAACATTTTTTACATTTGACCACTTACTAAATGGTATTGTGCATTCTGAGAAAGATTTCACCTGATTTTAGAAAGTTGGTTAGATCGCTGACTTTAGGAGCTGGCGATTAGAATGGGGAAGCGTTAGTCGTATGGTAGAGCGGAGAAGAGTTGTTCTGATGGCAGAGAGAGAAAAAGTTTTATTGACGGCAGAGTGGGGAATGTTTACCGCCACATATGAACATGGCCATCTTCATTCAACAAATCAAACGAATAGAAATGTTTCTGTTGACATTTCTTTTCCAAGATGAAAAATTAATCACTTTACTTCCAGGATCCATTCTGTTTCAACACACTGAACCGTACAAGAATCCCGCATTTCTCTAGAGTTATCGCATCTTTAACGCAATTACCACCAGAGGGCGGTGAAAAGATCAAAGGTCACATTCTTCACGTTTATCGGCACTCGGCAGGGTTTGACTCTCTTCAGACACTAATTCTGTCGATTAAATTAATAACGATTTTTGTTATTTGATTATAAATGCATTTGGACGAGCCATGCATAACGATTTGGACCGAGGAGTGTGCGAATTTGTGCGGAGAAATCTAATTATTTACAAACCCTAATGACGGGCTTCGCGTCCACAAAACATTTATAGGATGAAAATATAATGTGCTACCATTGATTTCATTCGAGGTATTTACTTTGTGATAAATGGGCGATTTAATCTTTCTTTGCCGACAAAATAATACATTTAATTTCGTCTGTGCTGGTCACAGCGCCAAAGGAACCCTGGCAGTAAGAATTAATCACCGGAAGAAAGTTTGCTTTGAATTAATGCTTTTCTTTCTTCCTTTTGCGTGTGGTGTTTTTTGCGAAGATAAACTTGATCAACTTTGTGGGAAACAGTTTTCATTCTATGTCCTGTTTGATTTCTTCATTTGGTTAGATTGTGCCTGTAGCGTAATTTGGTGTACGAAGACTGCCGCATTCCGAAATACTCGTAGGTAAACTCTCAACTTCCTTTCATATATTCTACGGAATTATTAATGTAAAACTGCCACCAGTCGCACGTATTGCGACTACAGTGAACATAGTCGCCTTTGGCTTGTTCTTAATAACTTACTATGTACTACTACTACAACATCTACTACTACTTCTACTACAACTACTACTACTCCCACCACCCTCGCTCTTCCCTAAATCGCTTACATTTACCAATTATAATGGGAGGGCGTGGTTTGATTAACGTGGAGACTCTTCATGATAGAATTGTTTTGTGCACTTTTTTATTTTGTCTGATGATCTTCTTGTGAAGCAAGTGAAGACTCATGATGAAAACAAGGCATTCCACAGTTTTCTAAAAAGAGCCAAGGATGTGGGACATAATCTCAATGATGGTGTTGATTTTGTTAATGGCTCTGTACTGCTGGACGGTACAGAAATGAGTGTCAACCAAGCGAAGTTCCATATCAAGTCGGCCCAGATTCAGTTTTTAAGGGAGAGGCAATCTGAACGACCACTGCATCGAGTTTTTGTGCAGTGTGTTGAGAAGATAAGCAATCCTGCAGAGTCCTTCGCTTGGATGAAGTCGTCTGGCCTGAAAAGTGCAACAGAATGCTTTCTGTTTGCTTTTCAGGACCAGTCACTTCCCACTCGAAACCGTCAGTGTGTGCATTTTGCATCAAAATGTAAATATGAAATGTAGATTATGTAATGAATTTAATGAGACTGTCAGTCTCAAACACATTGTCAGTGGGTGCCCAGCTTTGGCACAAACACAGTATCTTAAGCTACATGATGGTGTAGCTCGATCATTTTATTACCGTCTTCGCCATGCTTGTGGTTTTGACACAGAGGTCCACCCATGGTACGACCCGGAATATGTAGAGGGCGTCATGGAAAATGATAAATACAAAATTCTTTGGAATAGGCCCATTTACAACCTCAGACGTATCCAGGCCAACAAACCTGATCTTGTCCTTTTTGATAAATCCAATGAAATCATTTATATCATTGAATTTTCTGTCCCCTTTGACACTAATGTGATTGACAAGATTGAGGAAAAACATGGCAAATATGCGGAACTCGCTTTCGAAATGTCACGCTTGCATCCCAAGTACCAAGTTGTCCGACTTCCCACTGTTCCCGGTGCCTTAGGTTTGGTACCTCCCAATCTGTTGACTGAAATTGGGAGAGTACCCGGGTTTGCTACCAGGAATACAGCCCTTCTGACAAGAAGGCTGCAGTGTTGGGGAGTCTTCACATTCTCCGAAAAGTTCTGCGTGTAGAGGGGACAAGGGCCTCGAGCTGATGATGAGCCTAATCAGTCTGACTGTGGCAGGATCGCCCAAACCCTCTTTGCTGCATTCTTTTTTTAATCTGTTAATAATAATAATAATAATAATAATAATAAAAAATTTTTTTATATTAAGGTGCTGATACTATACTGTTGCTGCAACTTCTACAACTACACCTACGATAACAGGGTAATAGTATCTGTCTCCGTCGCCGTCACCAACCTCAATCCCGGAAATGATCACACTAGCTACCAAGGAAGAGATATAAAATATACCTCGGATCTTCTTCGAAGACATAATTTTATGTCTAGCAACTGAGGGTATGACTGCCGCTCTTGGTGTTAATCTATTGAAACAATACCATGCTATAAAACTCAATAAAATGCAATACAATATACTGCAATGCACCGCAATACACTCAGTATAATTTAACTCAGTACCACGAAACAAACCATACAAGGTCAAACACTTGAATACATTTCAGAATAAAATACATTAGAATGCGTACAGGAAAAGCCTATGAGCGGGCGGGTGAGTGAGTGAGTCTGTGGGTTTAACGCCGCTTTGAACCTTATTCCAGGTACATCACTGCGTTTCAGCTTCATGGTCGAGGAAAGCCTGAAGTGATGCAGGTCTCAGACGTTTACCATTTCGGTGAAACCCACGAGCACGGGTATGGTGCTGACAAACCTTGAAACATAATCAGGGCGATCTGGGATTCGAACTCACAATCAATTTCTGGCGCGCCCCAGAGAAGCGGGCCGAACGTGTACCGCTGTTATCATTGTTCTCAGGTACACAGTAAAATTCAACACACCCAGATCAAACTAAATTCAATAATGACGAAATGGCACAAATTTACATTGAAATCTAACAAATGTGAATGTGAAACTGTGATCTATTCGGTTGCTGAGTCGGTTGGAAAAAGGTTTTTATGTACCACTTCGAAATACTGTAAACTACGGTTATAACGAACTCAAAGGAACTACTAATTTTAGTTCGATATAACCGTAGTTCGTTATAAGCATATATACAGCATACCTACAGCAAATAGTCGAGATCAAAAAAGTAAGCTCGTTATATCCGTCAGTTCGTTATAAGCGTGTTCGCTATAACCGTAGTTTACTGTATTATTATTTTACATGAACAATATGTTACAGAAACACATCTTTAATTTTTTTGTTATCAGGGCAGCGGCTTAAATCAATAGATCTATCCGTAGAATATTTGTATCAAAGGATGATACGCTCATCAATCAATCAATATACTAGTACATGTATATATATATATACACACACACACACTAAACAAATTAATTGATTCAGTCAAGCATCTTGTATCAATGATAGGACACTACGAGGAAACGGCACCGTCTCCCAGACAGAAATACAACCTGACCTGGTAACACTACAGGGAAACTTTGAATCTACTTTTTTCAATTAGACTAATACGCATTCCGAACAACAAACTCATCGATTAAATAGGGAAGGCAGTTCTTTCTTTAAAGGAGGACAGTAATTAAAGGAAACGGGGATTATTTAAGAGTACGTTTTTTCTAATGTGGTCAGAATGTTTGTGGTTAGCTGTAATAGATTTTGTTCCTCGAGAGTGGGTCTTATCTTTGGCAACCTCTTTTAATAAAGCGCTAAAGGGTTTGGAAGTCAAAGAAAACATCAGTGCTAACGATTCTGGACGCGAGAGCACAGGAACATGGTAAGTTTGTAAGTACAGTGAATCAGTAAACGTGTTTCAGTACGTGCTGCTAGGCAACCCATTGCTGTGAGACCTGAATGATACATGGGCTCATCTTGGTCCTCCGCAAGACCTGATCAGTCAGGGTCACGTGCACTTTAATTCAGCAATTTAGCATCCTTGCGCACTCTTTATAGTAAACAGGCCGTTTCCTGTGTGATGCGGGCTGGAGATGGGAAAATGTCGTGGGGGAAGAGGATTGGGTAGGGATGGATGGCAGGGTGACAGAGGGGGTGTCATGACGAGTGGAAACGTGGCAAGATGTGCACGTATTTGGGGAGCTGTGAGGGTGTGTGTGCGTGCGTGCGCGTGTGCAGGGGGCAGGGGGTTGGTGGAGGGCGGGGGGTGTTTGGTGAATAGTGTTAACTGTTTAAATGTAAGGAAGGAGAGGAGACGGTGAGAAGATGAGACGGTGAGAAGATGAGACGGTGAGGGGATGAGAAGGTGAGGGAATGAGAAGGTGAGGTGATGAGAAGGTGAGGGGATGAGGAGGTGAGGGGATGAGGCGGTGATGTGAGGAGACGGTGAGAAGGTGAAGAGATGAGACGGTGAGGTGATGAGAAGGTGAGGGGATGAGGCGGTGATGTGAGGAGACGGTGAGAGGATGAGAAGGTGAGGAGATGAGACGGTGAGGTGATGAGAAGGTGAGGTGATGAGAAGGGGGGGGGAATGAGGCGGTGATGTGAGGAGACGGTGAGGGGATGAGAAGGTGAGGAGGTGAGACGGTGGGGATAGGAGACGTGATGACATGAGAAGATGCGACGGGGAGGTGATGAAACAGTAGGGAGAGGAGACAGTGGGGTGATGAGACGTGAGGAGATGAAAATATGACCCGGTGGGGAGATGAGCCGGTGAGGGGATGAGAGGATGAGGTGATGAGAGGATGAGAAGATGAGAAGATGAGACGGCGGGGAGATGAGATGGTGAGGTGATGAGAAGAAGAGACGGTGAGGTGATGAGAGGATGAGAAGATGAGGTGATGAGAGGATGAGAAGATAAGGTGATGAGAGGATGAGAAGATAAGAAGATGAGACGGTGGGGAGATGAGACGGTGAGGGAATGAGACGGTGAGGTGATGAGAGGATGAGACGGCGAGGAGAGGTGATGGTGAGGTGATGAGAAGATGAGACGGTGAGGTGATGAGAAGGTGAGGTGATGAGAGGATGAGAAGATGAGTTGATGAGAAGATGAGACAGTGAGGAGATGAGACGGTGAGGAGATGAGATGGTGAGGTGATGAGAGGATGAGGAGATGAGACGGTGGGGAGATGAGATGGGGAGGAGATGAGACGGTGAGGAGATGAGATGGTATGGTGATGAGAAGATGAGAAGATGAGACGGTGAGGAGATGAGATGGTGAGGTGATGAGAAGATGAGACTGTGAGGTGATGAGAGGATGAGAAGATGAGGGGATGAGAGGATGAGGAGATGAGACGGTGATGTGAGGAGACGGTGAGGTGATGAGAGGATGAGAAGATGAGGTGATGTGAGGATGAGGAGATGAGACGGTGATGTGAGGAGACGGTGAGGAGATGGGATGGTGAGGTGATGAGAAGATGAGACGGTGAGGTGATGAGAGGATGAGAAGATGAGGTGATGAGAGGATGAGGAGATGAGACGGTGATGTGAGGAGACGGTGAGGAGATGAGGAGGTGAGGAGATGAGACGGTAAGGAGATGAGACGGTGAGGAGATAAGACAGTGAGGGGATGATACGGTGATGTGAGGAGACGGTGAGGAGATGAGAGGAAGAAAAGAGGAGACGGTGAAAGGATGAGACGTTGAGGAGATGAGACGGTGAGGTCATCAGAAGTTGAGGAGATGAGACGGTGAGGGGATGAGACGGTGAAGGGATGAGAAGGTAAGGAGATGAGACGGTTAAGGGATGAGAAGGCGGAGGGATGAGACGGTGAGGGGATGAGACGGTGAGGAGATGAGAAGGTGAGGAGATGAGACGGTGAGGAGATGAGACGGTGAGGTGATGAGACGGTGATGTGAGGAGACGGTGAGGAGATGAGACGGTAAGGTGGTGAGAAGGTAAGAAGATGAGACGGTGGAGGGATGAGTAGGTGAGGGGATGAGATGGTGAGGTGATGAGAAGATGAGACTGTGAGGTGATGAGAGGATGAGAAGATGAGGGGATGAGAGGATGAGGAGATGAGACGGTGATGTGAGGAGACGGTGAGGTGATGAGAGGATGAGAAGATGAGGTGATGTGAGGATGAGGAGATGAGACGGTGATGTGAGGAGACGGTGAGGAGATGGGATGGTGAGGTGATGAGAAGATGAGACGGTGAGGTGATGAGAGGATGAGAAGATGAGGTGATGAGAGGATGAGGAGATGAGACGGTGATGTGAGGAGACGGTGAGGAGATGAGGAGGTGAGGAGATGAGACGGTAAGGAGATGAGACGGTGAGGAGATAAGACAGTGAGGGGATGATACGGTGATGTGAGGAGACGGTGAGGAGATGAGAGGAAGAAAAGAGGAGACGGTGAAAGGATGAGACGTTGAGGAGATGAGACGGTGAGGTCATCAGAAGTTGAGGAGATGAGACGGTGAGGGGATGAGACGGTGAAGGGATGAGAAGGTAAGGAGATGAGACGGTTAAGGGATGAGAAGGCGGAGGGATGAGACGGTGAGGGGATGAGACGGTGAGGAGATGAGAAGGTGAGGAGATGAGACGGTGAGGAGATGAGACGGTGAGGTGATGAGACGGTGATGTGAGGAGACGGTGAGGAGATGAGACGGTAAGGTGGTGAGAAGGTAAGAAGATGAGACGGTGGAGGGATGAGTAGGTGAGGGGATGAGACAGTGAGGAGATGAGAAGGTGAGGGAATGAAAGGATGAGGGGATGAGAAGGTGAGGGGATGAGATGGTGAGGTGATGAGAAGGTGAGGGGATGAGACGGTGATGTGAGGAGACGGTGAGGAGATGAGAGGATGAAAAGACGAGACGCAAAGGTGATGAGAAGGTGAGAAGATGAGACGTTGAAGGGATGAGAAGGTGAGGGGATGAGACGGTGAGGGGATGAGACGGTGAGGAGATGAGACGGTGAGGAGATGAGACGGTGAGGGGATGAGACGGTGAGGGGATGTGACGGTGATGTGCGGGGACAGTGAGGAGATGAGAAAGTGAGGGAATGATATGATGAGGGGATGAGAAGGTGAGGGGATGAGATGGTGAGGTGATGGGAAGATGCAACGGGGATGAAATTAAAGGATGAGAAGATGCGACGGTGAAGATATGAAAAAGATAAGACGGTGAGAAGGTGAGAAGATGCGACGATGACGAGATGAAAGGATGAGAAGGTGAGACGTGAAGAGATGAGACGATGAGTAGTTAATTCGGTGAGGAGATGAGACCTTAGGTGATGAGTCGGCGAAGAGATGAGATATGATGAGATGAAACGGTGAGGTGATGAGACGGTGAGGTGATGACACGGTGAGGAGTTGAGACGGTAAAGAGATGAGACGGTGAGGAGTTGAGACGGTAAGGAGATGAGACGGTGAGGAGTTGAGACGGTAAGGTGATGAGACAGTGACGAGTTGAGACGGTAAGGTGATGTGACGGTGAGGAGTTGAGAAGGTAAGGTGATGACACGGTGAGGAGTTGAGACGGTAAGGAGATGAGACGGTGAGGAGTTGAGAAGGTAAGGTGATGAGACGGTGAGTTGAGACGATGAGTAGTTGAGTCGGTGAGGAGAGGAGATGTGATGAGATGAGACAAGAGAAGATGAGACGATGAGGAGACGAGACGGTGAGAAGATGAGGCGGGGGATGATGAGAAGGTGAGCAGAGGAAACGTGAGACTGTGAGGAGATGAAACGGTAAGATGATGATGGGCTGAAAGGATGATAATTTGAGAAAATGAGGAGGCGGGGGACGTAACAGGATGAGAAGGTGAGAAGATGAAAAGGTGAGAGGATGAGAAGGTCACACACACACACACACACACACACACACACACACACACACACACACACACTTTTGGAGGACGCAGAAAGACCAACTAGCTAATACACCATGTGATATTACGTCAGTCGCTCTCTCGGTCGGAAAGTGCAGTAAACTATATTATGTACCGCTTGTCACTGATATCGTATATACGCTTCCATCCATCACGTGCTACTCTGTAATTAACACACAGCGCGTGACCTTTGCATTATCACGCAATATCAGGGTACTTGGTGATTAAAAGCACCAATTATACCGAGTGATGTCTCACAGTGCTAATTATAGTAATGTACAACCAGTCTCGGCCATGTTTTGACGTATCAAAATGGACTGGCCTTTCAGTAGGGGGGATTAATAATTTACACATTCGAACCTTCCTTTAACCAAACTGCATCTTATTGTAACAAATTAAATTTATTATCTAAATGCAAATCAGGTAATTCTCATCCTAACTACAAAGATAATTACAGATAACCATGATTTTGTATAACCAAGACGAGCGCTCCCACCCCTAGTTACGATAATGGACGCGCCCGTTTCCTACCTTAATGTCAACAACAGAAACTCGATGCAATAGAACTGCCTTTCAATCAGCTAATGAGGTGAAATGAGGCTTCTACCTTCCCCTTACACCTCGAAATTATAAAACATTAATCGGATGTAATGAATAACCCTTGCACATGACATCGACGGTTGTTGATATAGGCACTTACGACTTGAACAAGGTCGGACATGGAACGCTGCAATACTCGACTAGCCGCCGTGAATCCTTAATTATGATATTAATAATAAATAATAAATAATATATATTCGCATTTGTCTGTTAAAGTTTACAGGTTCTTCAATCAAATCATAAAAAAAATTCAGAAACAGTTTTGTTATAAGAATCTATTATAATCAACATGCACTGCCTGTTGCGAGTAGATGTCGTTGTTGAGAAGATCTCGCTGACGTTTGTGCTATTTCTAGAGAGCGAAGCTGTATCAATGACGAGATAATAAAAGTAAGGTTTTTCAAAAAGAAATCTTGGCAATGTAACAATTGTCATGTTCTTTGCGCCCCGAGTTGCACATGGTGCAAAAGAGTTTAACATGAAAGGAACAGTTTTTTTAAAAAGAATGCAGCGCTATAAGATTAGGCATACCAGCAAGCTTCTGGCAGCAACAGTTTAGCTTCAAGAAATGATTAGTGGAGATTTTGGTGCAGTTGGCTCAAGGAGAGTTGCAAATTGAGAAGAGATCGTTGGATCACACGGAGTACACACGTCCTTCATTTACTGAAGCTTGTTTTGAAGTGCTTCGTTGCCTTGGAAGTAATATTTAGTAGAAATAAATGAACTTGAACTGGTAATTCATTGGCATGTGGACATATAAATGTATTGATAGCGGAAGAGTTAATCATGATTTTGATGAAATGGGCTGAATGTCTATGCTGATTGATATATTAGCTACAGCTTTGCACACGACACAACACTTGTCGAGACAGACACGGTGAGCTTGGCGCCGTTCTGATCCGTAGAGGGGTCAAATAAAAGTCTTTCCCTTTCAAAATAATGTCATGGTATACGTAAATAGACAGACATTTCAAATCACTTAAATTTGTTACGAAAACAGATATTGCTATGTAAAATTTGAATTTGTTTAAATTTTGATTTTGAAACATTAAACATCCTAAGAAAGCCTACGAAGTATACCCTCGGTCCAATTGAACACTTGTACGCTGCAAATCTTTATTTGTGTTTGTTTGTTTGTTGTTTAGCTTCACATTCAGCAGTACTCCAACTAAACTGAACAGCAAAAGAAACTTTGCACATTTGAAAATAATGTGATTTTGAATTAGCAGTACTGGTTCAAACCAAAATAGGCACAAACACAAACACAAACACATAGCACAAACGCATAGTTGTTGTAACTGTAAGTTTTACCGGCAATAAGCATGTGTTTTTAAAAAATGCGAAAAATACAAAATCACATGATGTCATTGCTGGTAGAAATGTACGTGCCACAAGGGTAAAACAATAGTGCACAGTAGCAATGTCAAACATCCACATTCTAATAAAACACATTTCAAATGCCAAGACTAACATCAGAACAACGTGAGCGAGCAACTGGGATCGTCCAGATGGTGGCCAAGCACACCCATGTTGCAAGAACCTTTGGCTGTTGCCGTTGGAAACTTGTTGCAGCGTTTCAGACAGACTGGAAGAACATCGGACAGGCCAAGGCCAGGGAGACCACGGGTCACTACGCCACAGGAAGATCGGTATCTGCCAACGTTGCACCTCCGCAACTGCTTCCTCACAGTGACGTCATCGGCAGTGAATGCGTTGGCCGGCGGGTGAGCACACACACAGTGACGAGAAGACTTCGGGCAGCAGGTATCAGGGCCTACCGACCATTCCGAACATCGACGAAGACGAATACGATGAGCTATTACAGTGCGACGGTGGCAGCGTTGGGATTGTCAACGCGTGGTCTTTACGGACAAAAGCAGGTTCTGTTTGTTTAGAGTTGGTGGCAGACAGCGTGTTGACCGTCGCAAAAGTGAACGGAAAGCTGCTTGCTGCGTTCAAGAAGTCGTTCCTTGCGGTGGAGCTGGCGTTATGGTATGGGGAGGAATTTTTGGTGACCAGACAATGCCACTCGTCGTCATCGATGCGCAACGCTATAGAGATTTCATCCCCAGTCCAGTAGTGCTGCCCTACCTCCAGCATCAACCCCGAGGTGTTCTGTACCAACACGACAACGCCAGGCCCCACAGGACCCAGGACCCAGGTCCCACAGGTCCAAGGCCCCAGGCAACGTCTTACCGTGGCCGGCATGTTCTCCTGACTTATCACCCACAGAACACCAACTCTACAAGATGAATGGAACCGCTGGCCCTCATCAGAGGTTTGACGTTTTCCGTCCGACGCAGAGTCTTCGCTTGTATGGATGCACGGGGTGGCCACAATCGGTATTAAAGAGACAAATCTTGTGTCTGTGACCACCTTCCGTGTTTGAACGAATTGCATTGAAAATCTAGACAACTGAATTTTCAACTCCCACTGAGTCTGTTTGTCTGGTATACAATATTCAACCGCAAAATGTCAAGTTTGAGTTGTTCAATACTTTGTGGAATTGTTCGTTAGATATACTTTACCTCAAATTTTGGTTATTTTTAGTTTATTAGTTACAGTCACTTCAATCTGTCCAAAGTCAGACAATTTATAAATTGATGGCAATCTTCACTCAGTCACAATACAGACAGAATGAATATTAAATTTATTTAATACAGATTGATGATTCTATTACACTGCCGGGCAAAGGAGGGTATACACAATGTTGGAAAGTGGCTAATAATGAAACAGACCAATGGTCATTCCATGGTGATGCATTTGAAACGGATATATACTCAACAACAAAAGTTCCTGTGACACCAATATTTTAGTGTAGTTTTCAAAGAAGTAAAGTTTCGTTTTCATTATTGTAGTACATGTATGGATTCAAGTAACAAAAACGCAACTGCTACAGAAAAGCATGCATTCCATGTATAAGTTGACTTTTATGCAAGCCCCATGCATTTCACTACCCAAAAATGGGTATAAAAACATGTGCGTTAACGGACATTTTGACAGGAAACCACTGCCAAGCACGTCTTCAGTGGTGCAGACAGCGTCTACGCTGGACGGCCATGCAGTGGGGATTCTATTCACTGACGAGTCTCGTTTTCACCTCAGCCACAGCGATGGACGGATTCGAGTGTACCGACGTCGAGGTGAACGTTACGTCAAACATTGTGTCATGGAAGAAGATCGGTTTGGGGGCGGCAGCGTAATGGTATGGGGTGGGATTACAGCAAGACAGAGGACCCGTTTGATAGTGGTAGAGGGAAATCTCAATGGACAGCGCTACCGCGACGAGATCATCATCCCTGTTGTTCTACCGTTTTTGCGTCGTCATGCCCCAGGCATTACCTTTCAACATGACAACGCCCGGCCTCATATTGCTCGACTTGTTCAGGATTCTCTTCAACAAAACAACGTGAATGTTATCCCCTGGCCGGCTCGCTTCCCTGATCTCTCACCAATCGAGCACATGTGGGATGAGATGGATCGGCGCCTTCGACGTCAACAACGTGTTCCACAGACACTCCAGGAACTTCGAAACATGCTCCAGCAGATATGGCGGATATCCCACAGGACTTTGTGTGACGCCTGGTATATTCCATGAGACGAAGATGTGTTGCTTGCATCGCAACCAGAGGTGGACAAACTCGCTATTGATTTGGAATTGACATTTTTGGCATGTTCATGTTTTTTGTATGAAATCACGCATTTTCTGGAGTCAGTGTGACAAATTAAACCATTTGAATACTTATAGGAGTCTTTTATCTTTTGCAAACCGAAATTGTGTCAGATTTGGTAAAAAACATAACTTTGCATTAAATCTTATTCAATGTCACAGGAACTTTTGTTGTTCAGTATAGTTGTGTTTTCGGATGTTAAGTTTTCTGTGTTCAGTGATTCTTTTTTAGCCTAATCACGTTTTAATAACGTTGAAATGTTTCAAACCTATTCCAGTTTTCCAGAGTGTACTTTATTTTGTCCGTCAGTTTACGAAAAAACAAGTACGTGCACAAATTAGGATTAAATACTGTCAGTATGTTTTTAGTATCTTGTGTCAACTATTTTTAACCATGCATTTTCTTGTTTTACCTGAGTTACCGTGCATTTGTGTGAAATGAGGCAAAAATAGTGTTTTTAATCCCACATTGTGATAGTGTTTTACTGACTCGTAGAATCTTTCAAGATGTCACAGAAATCCGAAAGTTTCCTTTTTGAGCGCATCCGGCAATTTGTAAATTGACTGAAATTGACTGTTACTTTAATACATTGATTCAGTAAATAATTGACTGCAACATGTATATTGCATAGAATACTGTGTGGGACATTCTCGCGATCTCGCATTCTTGCGATCTCGACCTTTGGAAACGATCTCGCATTCTCGTGTTTTTGGTCCATAGCACTTTTTCTCAAAAGTCGACAACGCGAGAATGCAACATTTGGACATGATGCAAAATCTCAAAATCTCGCAATCTCGACTTGTCAAATTAGGCCACAAAAAGTACGAAATCGCGAGAATGCGAGAATGCGACATTTCATTTTCTCGCGATTTCGCATTCTCGTGTTTTAGGCATATTTACCACGTTTCCAAAGGTGGAGATCGCGAGAATGCGAGATCGCGAGAATGTCCCTTACAGTATTCCATAATATTGTGACCAGTAAGGGTTGTAAAACCGGGAGGTGAACATGTACAGATTGTGTTTTTAACTGTAATTTGATATTACAGTTTGTAGTCTGAAGGGTTGTGCTCTCGGTCTGTCGAAACTGTAATGTGAACCAAACTCAGCGGGTCTGAATCTACTCTAGTTGTGATGGAGAAGACATGAGGGTCTGTTGATTCTACTTTCGGAAATAAGGGATTTGAGATATTCCTAAGAGTTCACCCATGTTATGGTTGAAATAGACCGAGGAGCTAAAACAGACTATGCTTATCAGTTGATACTATCATATTGTTTTTCGTTTTCAATTGAAAATAGCTTAAGTAAGTGGTATTATATTCAAATAACTGTACCGGCGGGGAACACCTTTTCATGGTTATATTTTTAAAAATATCATTTAATTTCAACTTTCAAAAATTCAAAAAGAAAATTCGCATAATACACAGCTGGGTATTTTAGCTTTTCAGTGTATCAGTGTCTGCAAATTTACCTCTTACCCCAGTCTTCAAAATTACCCAGCGACTAATTACTTAATTACATTATCAAACTTAACAACATTTTTTTCCAATTACAGAAAAAAGAAAAACCTTTATAATCTCTTTTTCCCCTTATTTAATTCCTCCATAATCTGACCCGTGAAGACCCGGGCTAGAATAGGTCTTCAGCAACCCATGCTTGCCGTAAAAGACGACTATGCTTGTCTTAAAAGGCGACTATCGGGATCGGGTTGTCAAGCTCGCTGACTTGGTTGATGCATGTCATCGATCCCAATTACGTGGATCGATGCTCATGATGTCAATCACTGGATTGTCTGGTCCAGATTCGATTATTTACAGACCGCTGTCATATAGCTTGAATATTGCTAAGTGCGGCGTAAAACAACAAAGCAAACAAAAAAAACCTCCATAATCTTGATTATGAAGCAAGTGTTAAATGCACATAATGCAGGTTCAAAATGGCCCGTGAAACCCAAAAGGAAGTGGATGGTGCTGACAAACATAACGAGGCGAAAGAACCGGATTCGGCATAAGACATTTTTGCACAACGAACTGGCCGCCCAATCAATTTTAAATTCCACAGCCAATTCCCTTTTCTGGTAACTCATATTATAGTATACGAATCATAATTGGTTACATGGCATCGTGCCCCGACAGTGATGTTCATTACATCAGTCACTGGATTGCCTGGTCCAGACCAGTTAATCACAAGCCGCCTTCATATCGCTTGAATATTGTAGGCTTCGGAGTTAAACAAAACAAACAAAAACAAAATTATTTGTCCTTCTGATGAAATTCCTTAAAATCAGAATCGCAATTATATTAATCATAATATATAAAATATAATATAATATATATAAAATGGGGGTGGGGGGTACTGGTCCTGTATTTTGAGCTCACCGCATCTTGAGATGAGGATGTTACCAAAACACGTCTGGAATAACTTCATGATGTGACCACGAATAGATTGTCAGGCTTAGAACGAACCCCAGATATACAATTAATGCCATTTCTTAGACGCGGTGTTACGAGATAATGCCCATTGTGAGAAGAAGATCTCGTGTACGTGATCTCTCGCGAGATCTGCAGCGAGACGTTGCGCAGACCACGGTACACACTGAAAGACCAAGAGGAATGGCTTTCACAGGCGCGGATGCTTGTAGTAGATCCTCTGTGCACCAAAGGGAACTAAGAAGCTCATCTTATTCTACCAACTGCCAACCCGTAAAGATCCGGGGTAGAACAGGTCTTCAGCAGCCCATGCTTGCTGTAAAAGTCGACTGTGCTTGTCGTGAGAGGCGACTAACGGTCTTGGGATCGGAATAGCGATGCAATAGCGTGGAATCAGGGAAGCTCCGGGTTAGAACTGACCTTCAGCCACCCATGTTTGTCTAAGGTGCGACTAAAAGGATCGGGTGGTCAGGCTCGCTGACTTGCTTGATGCATGTCATCTTATCCCAATTGCGTTCATCAATTCTCATGAAGTCAATCACTGGATTCCCGTGAAGATCCGGGGTAGAATAGGTCTTCGCAACCCATGTTTGCCGTAAAAGGAGACTATGCTTGTTGTAAGAGGCGACTAACGAGATCGGGTAGTCAGGCATGTCATCGATCCCAATTGCGTGGATATTAATCACTGGATTGTCTTGTCAAGACTCAATTATTTACAGACCGCCGTCATATAGCTGGAATATTGCTGAGTGCGGCGTTAAACAACAAATAAACATAAACAAATCTACCAACTGCCTACAGATTCATATAAGTGGTAAAGATACAACTAACGTTACAAAGATTTACTTCTGTTTGTTATAGATGTACATGCTGTGAGACCCGTGAAGATTTCGGGGTAGAATAGGTCTTCAGCAACCCATGCTTGCCGTAAAAGGCGACTGACGGGATCGGGTGGTCAGGCTCGCTGACTTGGTTGATGCATGTCATCGATCCCAATTGCGTGGCTCGATGCTCATGATATTAATCACTGGATTGTCTGGTCCAGACTCGATTATTTACAGACCGCCGTCATATAGCTGGAATATTGCTTAGTGCGGCGTTAAACAACAAA